GGTGTATGGGATATCATTAATCTCTTTGATTAGTAAATATATATAAATGAATTATCTTTTGAACTTGTGGTTCGAATTATCTATCATAAAAAATTAGATAATATAATGACGCGTTATGAAATATAATTAGTTAGAGCTTAGAATATTATATAAGGGTTCAAAATAGACATATATTCTCAACATTCGTTAATATCCATCTTAGTGTACTGTGGTGGAGCGATTGTAGATATATTGCACCATAAAAATTATTAGATGGAAATATTGGGCTATGACCATAATCCTAATATTGTAGGAAGAACTTGATGTTGGTATGATCCTATCATTTTGCTTCATATGAAATAGCATTTCCTTGAAAGAAATGGGACACACTTTGTTCTCAATTTTAATGATTTATAAATTAATTGGAAGCACTGACCAATTGATTGCGTTAAATGATTTATCGTTATCCCAACTAATATTTATCAAGTTTGTGATGTAGATTCATTAGCACTGAAAAGACTTATCGTCTTCATGGTATAATCTGAAAATTATACTTATAATTTAAAAATTGAGCGAGTAATCTCGCAAGCTCTTATAATAACATGCAATATTTAGTAGACATCTATTAGATACAAATAATAATTAGATAGTCATATGGATGATGATGAATCTCATATATCACCCTCATTAATTTTTAAGATTATAAGGATTTTTGTTTCTCTTTAACTAGTGATTGTCAATGATCAATTTATAATATACAGAACAAGTATTACACATGAATTCATTTGATTGGAATATTTTCTAATTCTTTGAATTTCAATTCGAATTTTTAATAATTTTCACATCATTTTTTAATCTAGGATGGTGTGACCGATCATGCCAAACAATTAAATTTTCAAGACATTGAATGTTTGGTTCAATATAATATTTTTATGATTGTATTAATATTTGTATAGTACAAATTAAAATAAAAGTAGAATAATATTTAGGTCTTTTAGAACCTTCAATCAAATTTGTAGAACTTGATATTTTATTATGTTATTTTCAATTATTCATCCATATCTTCTTTATGAAATCGTGATAAAATCAACAAGATGATGGGGATACAATGGGTACCTATAATTAAACAAGTTAACAAATATTGTCTGTTGCCACTTTATCATATTTAATAAAGGACTAAATAATATAAGTGGATGAAAACTAACTTCATCCATGATATAAAATTAACATGATGCCTATAAATTTTGATACAAGACAATGTCTTCAAAACCAATATAACCGATAAGGGATCCGCCCGGGGAAGAATCAGACGAGACCTTCACTAACAAGCAATTCCAACTTCTCAAACTATTTGATCAGTATATGTTTCAGGCCAGATGCATGACCATATTGATGTATCATGCGAGGGTTTACCATCGTGAGCACCATTGAGTCATTTACACTTATTCGCTGTATTTATTCCCTTAATTTTTGCTTTCATTTATTTTGAGACTATTTTTGCACCTTTACATTTACTGGAGGTTAGTTCGAGGTCACTACTGTTAAATTTTTTACAAGGTTAGCTCAAGTG